GTAGTGCACATACCCTGAAATTAAAAGTTAAATTAAAAAAAAAAATGTTTTAGCTTTCCAGCAGAATCTATGCCCCTGCTCACAGGTTCTGCTTCTGCCCAGAACATAATCTGTGAACATCACTGGCTGGAGGGCTTGGTTGCACTGCCCTAAGGGGTACCGTCCATAGGCAGGCTAGACTCAGGCCTTTGCTGTCGAGCTCAAACACGTGAGCTCCCTGTGCTGGGGATTTGTCACCACAAGAAAGTCTGGTTGTATGCAAGCACTTAAGGTCATTGATCCTGTAGGGTCAAGGCTGGAGTGGCCACGTTGTTGAAGCTGAAATTCTGAGGTTGCTGAAACTCAGAGGGAGCCTTTGGGGAGAGACGGGAATGGGTGGGAATAATCAGGGAGCAGGAGCAGAGCCTCAGGAAGTGGGAGTGGAGAATCCACCTCACTGCCTTGGCTTCCCACCTTCTCTGGGCTTCTCAGCCTCTCCTGTGTAGGGGGAGGTGTGAGCCTTCTCAGAGTAACCAGACTGTCACACGTGCCTGTCATCTTCATGTGGCTTAGATTGTGTTTCGGTGCCGCAACCAAGAGTGCAAGCCCAGGCAAGGAGAACCAGCAGGGCTGCCAGAGGGCTGAAGGGAAAACGTTCCAGCTTCCAAGATGGGGAAAGATTCATTCTAGAATCTCGTAGGTCAGTAAGATTAAGAGTAATTTTTGGAAAAATTCTAAATTAGACACTAAAAATAATTTGTCAACATGAAGCAAAGAAAGAGGTAATTATAATGAAGGACACTTGCTTATTTATGGAGTCAGGCAAAACATTGGTTTCTCTTCGCGAGAGTATCAATAGAATGGCAGACTTGGGGGCTGCGGGAACACCCCCCCACGATCCCTGTGAGAGTAACAGGAAGTTGTGAGAGTGCCCCCGCGGTGTGTGGTGTTATGGCTGAGAGCATCGGTGTGGAGTCACAGTGCCTGCTAGAAAGCCTGCCTTGACACTTACAATCTTTCTGAATATGGACAACCTATATCTGTCTCACTTTTCTCACCTAACGAATGCGGATAATATTTCTTATAATACAGGGTTGCTGTGAGAATTATCTAGCAAATAATACATGCTGAATAGATATTAGCTTTTATTACCTAGTAGTTTGAATAGTGCTATTCCAAAAGCACTTAATAACAGATCAATTTTAACCAAAAGAACCTGTTGTTTAAGAGTATTTGAAATAGATGCAATCTTGTTTGACATTTTTATCAATTATTTTTGAAGAAGTACTAGGTCAGTGGCCAATGAGTCTATATGCAAATGAATAATGCTCTGAAAAGGAATGAATGAAGATTTAGGGAGGTCATGATTCTCAGACAAAATCAAATCTGACTCATTAGGAACAATATCTCTGTTTAGATTTTTTAAAATTATATGAGCTAAGGCTATAAAGTCATAATAATTTGTGTAAAAGTGATATGGAGATTATAAATGTTGATATAGGCCAACATTATGACTTAGCTACAATAAACCCCATTTAACTTCAGCATACAACACCAGAAATATATGAACTGGATAATATAGTTCCAACCTACTTGGGCCTAGCCAGGTTTAGTTGAACTGTTGCATCCAATTCTGGGGCCACATTTAAAGAGGAACTGACATACAAGAGAACATGCAACCTAGTATGTCCCACACAGGCAAACTAGATGAGGACCAGTTAGGGAAATGAAGGATAAGGATTGGAGAAAAGAAGCCATCACTTACTCTGGTTTGTTACAGAGAGCCTCAGAATTCAGGGAGCTAGACTTCAGTCTACACTCACTCTCTCCTCTTCATGCCTCTTTGCACTGTCTGGTTCCTGCTCTCGCCACCCCACAAACACTGCTCTGACCAGAGTCACACTTATCTCCAAGGGACCCTTCTGAACCATGAGCTTTCTCGACTGCTCTTCCCTTGGCTCCCATGACACAATCACCTCTTTTTTTTTTTTTTGGAGACAGGGCCTCACTCCGTCACCCAGGCTGGAGTGCAATGGTGTGATCTCAGCTCACTGCAACCTCCGCCTCCCGGGTTCAAGTGATTCTCCTGCCTCAGCCTCCTGAGTAGCTGGGACTATAGGCGTATGCCACCACACCCAGCCACAACCACCTCTTAGTGTTCCTACTTCGTCTTCTCACTACACACATGCTCCCTGTTGACTTAGCAAATATCTGGGCTTCCTATACATCTCCGTGTTGATTTTTCCCAAATCTACCATTTCCATTTCTATATTCAATCACTCATTTGAAATCTCTTCTGCATGAAAACTCAGACTCAAAATAAAATGGAAGACTGAAATCAAGCTGTAAAATACAGCCAGAACTCTTCAGGTTGATTCCCCATGTTTGCATGGGTAAATGGTCTTACTCCTTTAAGCAAATGGTCCCTTCTCCCACTGCATATTTTATTTCTGGATCTGAAACATTTTGTTTTGCCCAGAGGGTGAAATAATAAAGGATGGATTTGGTTTCCAATGGAACCTTTACCAATCCATACCTCTCATCAAGCCGGGATAGTGCCTGACCAGCACCTATTGAGTCTTTTTATAGTTTCCATTTTATTAATTCAGACTAACTAAATTCTGGCTATAATAACAGTCATCCAATTGGGATTTGGGGAAGTCAGTTGAAAAAAACCCTGTAACTAGAAGAAGCGATTAAAATAATGGAAGCTAGATTTCTGTGTTTGTGAGTTTTCTCTCTGTTAATGGTTGGTTGTGTGTTAAAATTTCCATCATAGATCAGCTATTGCAGCTACTGCTCTGGTCTGACCTCTTGGCTCGCAGAGATGGAAAACAATCTCCTCCCTTTGGCAACGGCGCCGTTTTTTGGAAGGCCTCTCTGAACTTCTGGTTCTCATTTTGTATTTTTGCTCTTTCACCATCAATGTTGCACAAGAGAAATGGCATGACCATAACATGACAGGCATGTCATCCATAAGGGGCTCTAATGAGCTACTCTGCAGTTGCTGGAACAAGCATTTTTTAATTTGAGTTTTTAAACACCTTTTTGTTACCATTCCATCCTCAAATGAGTTCAAAGAAGTGGAGTTCAGGTCCTGGAAATGTTTCATCTCATTTCCTCCCCACTCTTTCTGCCAAAGCCTCCTTTAAAGCCTAATTCAAAAGCATCCTCCTTTCTGTAGCTTTCTCCATTACACTTTACCAAATCATGATTATGGTGCCCAGCACACTGTTACACGTGCAACGCTCGGCAAGGTCATGAGTTCTAGTTCGGTTTGTGCTCAAATCTGTAGGATTGCACTGAATGTGTAGGAGGTCATACAAAAACGCCAGTTTGGAATTCAATCTTTCTCATTAACTAGTAGCTATCATTCAACTGATACTAAAATATGGTTGTGATACTCATTTCAACTTGAACTGATTGAACTCCTGTAATGTCCCACCTGTATAATTAGTGACTGGGACAAAGTTAGTAGGAGACAGCACAGACCTTCAAGAAGCCCACAGTCCAGTAGGGAATCAGGATAGTCCTAACTGGTAAAAAGAGGTATGACCAACTGCTGTGTTCACGGTATAAACAACGGGCTTTGAAAGCAACTTTTCTGCTTTTTCTAAAACATGAACAAGGTCTCACTATGTGAAGAAATGGATACCTAATCTAGGTAAATGAAAGGAGATCAGTTGAGCTCCAGGTCAAGGAAGGTGGACTTTAAAACCATTGCCAAGTATGTGCTTGTAAGTTTGTTTTATGTTGTGTCATATTTTCTTAGAATACTGGTAAACAAAACTTTCTAATGGGTAAACGCTATGGCTAATATTTCTATAATATTGTACTTTTGTAGATGTAAAGCAAAATTTTTTCCCAAAAAATTATCTCTGAAAAACAAGGGAATCTCCTTATAGTTAGGACCTCACAGAGTCTCTCAAAGTGCAGAATGCTTTGTTTTCACAAACAAAAGTGCTATTTGGAAACTATATGTTAACCTCAAACAACCTCAACCAATGCTCATTTTCCTATAGAACTTGTAAAAACACAGTTAAAAACATATTACAAGAATGACATATTTTTTTTTTCTGGGAATATGACCCCAAAACTGCAAGCAATGGATGTTGAAGTCTTTGTAAGTAAGACTTCTAAAAATCACTGACCACCTTAAAAAGAACTACCTTAAGTCACCAGGCTGCTGGTAGGTGGGCCAGTGGGAAAAAAAATGTCCTGTTATCAGAGCAAGTACTTATCACTTCAGAAAGGGTATCTAGTGCAAACATTATATATGGAGTTTTTGAAGTACTAAATATTAACAATATAGACAGAAATAAAGATAATGTGTTAGAGGACCCAAAAAGTGACTTTACTGATGATGAAATGTAGATGCCAAAATAATCTCTCAATTTATAGCCCTAAAAGTTACATATGCAAGTTATCAAAAAAGCTTTTTAAAATAAAATTTCTTATTGCAGAAATAGCAGATCACCTTATATTCAAGGTTGCCTAATATTTAAGCAACATTTATTGCCTAAAATTGCATACAGACAGTTCAATAAAATGTTACTAGTGGTCATCATTATAACAATTGAAACTTCAATTTTACAAAAATAAAAATATACTGAAATGAACTTACATTTAAAAATAAAAACAATAATCAAAACCATGATACCTCATACTAGGCAAATGACATCTTAAATAAATCCAAGATACCTAAACATTTTCTGATCTCTTATACACAAAGAACAAACATAAAAACAATCAACAAAAAATAGAGGTTATTACTCTCCTTCCATATAAGTTAAATAATATGAGGTCAATCTGTCCAGAAGTTACACTGAAACCTAAAAACACAGATAGTTCTCTGTATTCACAATTTAATACATTAAATATGAAATATTCCTGTTCAAATACCATGGGTGGTTGGTGTGTTATAGATGCACGGGAAGAATTAGGGATTTGATTCCAAAAAGCATGATGGATTCTAACTTGATCTGAAAATGCAGTGATCAATTAAGCTTTATAATACATACCTCTAAATAATCTGTGGAGCAGTTTATGTGATATTCCAAGTCGAAAGCTAAAAATGTGTAGTTCACAGTGTTGCCTGTAGTTGCCCGGATGGTCCAGTTGCAATGCTGATTTTCAGAATAAGGATTTGGATACCCTATACTCTCTAAGATGCCATAGGTTTGATTGACTATTACCACATTCTCACATGCTGGAAAAAAAAATGACTGTTAAAAACCACTATTATATACATCATAATTGCTCCGAGATTTTCCTTTAAAAAAAAAGATAAAAATCATATATGTATGCACACACATATATAGGATGTGCATGTGTGTGTGTGTATATATATACACACAGACACACACATATATATTTGGTGCAGTATTTTCATAGTGAAAGGATTTCCATTTAGAAGAAATGTGAAATAATACTGAAGTGAATTCAAACTAAAGAGTCATGAAAATTAAGTAGTCATATTAAAATAGGCATCGAATTCCCTTGAATTTGTGGAGAGCAGAATAACTTGATTCTATTCAGGGATCAGTCCGATTTGTTTGTTAGAGAAGCGCATTCAACGTTCTGTGCGGCTGCTTTTTTAATGTTAACATTTGGAAGGGACAGAAATTCTGACTTTTAAATTGAACAGTTTAAAAACCCAAAATCTTATGTGAGTGCTAAAAACGAGTAACAACATGGCTTTGTTGAACATTCAAAAGTCTGCGTGAAATTCACAACAAAGGCTCCATTCTTCCTCTAGTTAGTCATCAGGAAGTACCAAGCGAATAGACAAGAGTATAAAGGATTTAAAGAAGACATGAAAATGTGAAATTTAAAAAAAAAAAAAAGCCTTCAATCCAATGGTGGCATTTTCTTGAGCTGAGTTTTCAACAAAACCAAACTAGATACCTCTAAGTATGTCTAATCCTGGGTGCCCAATTCAGCCGATCCTAATGACTTAAACAAGGAATATATTATCTCTATGATGTGCAATAAAAGAGAATGGGAAATAAACATTATAAGGAATGAGCTGTCTCTGAAAGTGAGGTTCATAGATGTATTCCTACTACAACATGCTTTCTGAAGATGGGTAGAACACCATTTATAACTTTGGTTTAAAAAAGCGTACATTTGTGGCTCTTCAAACTTTGCTTTGTTGGAGCAGGGAGAATACTTAAACCCATTCTGTTTGAAAATCTTTAGGTCACAGCTTTGTACATAAAGAATTTCTAAAGAATAATCTTATTGTTTTAGAAGCCTGTGAGAAGTTACACCTATTAGGCAGATAGGGATCACGTGCCTCGATGACTGGGGCAACACAGGGCCCAGGAAAATACATTCCGGTAAACCACATGGGCTGCTCTCAGCACTCAGACCTTATACTATTTGTAAATCTCCAATTTCCCATGGCAAATTTTACAGATAATCTCACTAGTTTGCTCTGATTTTTCCTCTTATGTGCACTCATTTACACTTTCAGGGTTTTGAAATTATGAGAGAAAAGTAAAATATCTCAGAAATAAAAAGAAAAAAAGAAACCCTTAAACAATCTAATTATAACCAAGAAATAGATTAGCACAGCAGTAATAAAATTAGAGAAATGATTATATAGTAAAACAGATGTATCTCTGATAGAATTTGGGAAACCTTTTTATACACTAGTGATACATTTCTGAAGAAAAAAGCTATATATTAAAACTCAATATTCAAAATGATCTAAGATTCAGACTAATCCCCAGATGTAAATGAATGTGAATCTTAAAATTCATACATAATCAAGATTAAATGTTATTACTCTTTCAATTAATTCAAGGGATATTGTGTATTCAGATAATAATTTTGTGACTTTTAATTCCATTTTCAGATAATTGCATAAAATTATGGATAAATTTTGATTCTGTGGGAAAAGATAATTGTGTAAAATTATGGATAAATTTTGATTCAGTAGAATTATATTTCCAAAACCTAGACTTTACTTTGATAAAGTAAAAGTCTTTATCAAATAACAAATTCAAGAAAATACTGACAGTTTTTCTTGAATGTCCATTTTGGAACTAACTTCAAAAAGCATTTAATTCTAGAGATAGAATGCAGGTTTAGAGACCAGCTAATTTAATCTCCTTTTCTAAAAGAAGAAACTGTGGGACCACAAAGGAAAGTGATCTTCTCAAGGGTTAGGAGCCAGAACAAATCCCAGGCCCCTTGACATTTTGCTCAATGTTCCTTTAATTCTACCATGTTGCTATATGGGAAAAGTAGATTTAAAATGGCGTCTGTACAATAGCCAGATTTTTCTACTGTAAAGAACATGCTTATTCCATGCACGAATCACATGGACCACAGTTTTCCTTAATAAAATTAAGGTACCTTTTAAGGTAGAGAGTAGTGTGAAAGAATACTATGTACACTGGAATAATATAATGTACACTGCAAGATTGCAATGTGTGATGCAAATGAAAAGCTATTGGTCATTAGTCTGTTACACTGATCTTTCGTTGAACTGCAACTCTCTCGGCATATTAAATACTCTTTTAAGTTTCTATAGTTTGCCAGATGTTTTAGTTATATGAGATTAAATTTAATACATAAGTATTTCTCCCTCAAATGGAGTTAAATTTTTCACGTAAGAAACTAAGATGAAGTTCAATTGCTCACACCAATGCATTACACTTATTTCAGTTTGTTTCAAGAGTTTGAAGGCCCACTCTAGGCACTGAACAGCCAGTATACATACTTACTCTGCCGGTATTCGCACTTATTCTGCCGGTATTTACACTTACTCTGCCAGTATTCACACTTACTCTGCCGGTATTCAGCCTCAAAGCCACGTCCTTGCTGACCTTCATCTGTCCTCAGTTTTATAAACATGCTGTCTCCACTAGAACGAATAAGAGGTGGTTTCTCATCCCCACAAAGCTGAGTTAGCAGATGAGAGCTGCTACTTGGGCCATCATATACCTTTAAGAAAACATTTTGAATGTTAGATGGCTGAGACTATCAACATTATGTAAAGGACTATAATCCAGAAGTGAGAAATATTATATATATATATATTTACTATGTGTATATATTATAAATATATGATATGTAATTATATATAAATATATAATATTATAAATATTAATTATATATTTATAATATAAATTTATTTAATACATATATTTATATATGTATTAAATATTTATATATAAACATAGATATGCATAAAATAAATATATATCTATATATAATAAATATATTTTTTGTTATATATATGACATCACAAAAGAATAGTCATGAAATAAAATAACTTTACAAATTATATTTAGGTATTTATAAATTCAGGCCATAAACTCAGGCAATTAAGCTGTGGATATGTGCAGCAGTAATAAACGTGTGAGCCTACATTGAAGGCTGAAGATTGAAAATGAAAGCCTAATACACATTGTAATGCCACAGCTGATATCAATTGTCCTCCTTGTTTTTGATTCCATAGTTTATGATTCATGACATTTCAATACATTTTTATTTAGCTTTTTAACAAATGAACAATGGTGAATTGCCGTACTGTGAAAAGTCCTAGTTGAATGACTCAAATTATCTTCTCTACTTCATCAAAACTGTCTTCTAAATTGTGATTTTTTCAATGCATATGTGGAAATTACATAAATAATGATTATAATAAATCCCATAACCCCTTTCAGGAGATTTTCAGCATATCTTAATAGTCTATGGTCAATATATTTTAAATACTTAGTGTATCGAGCCATTCAATTCTTCGAAGATGGTCATTTTCACCAAATTTCTTGTATGTTTCTATTTTGTTTGAATTTTTATATGGATGTTCTGTTTAGATGCTCCCCTTTCTTGAATCTCCAAAATAAAAATAAGCGCATTGTGTGTTGGGTGAGATGGGAGCAGGGAATGACACAATGGAAACATTATACATACAGCCAGGTAATCTAAAGTGCAGTTTGGATGATGCTCCAAGTGAAAGTCTTTGAATTCCAGTTCAAATGTGCTGCCGTGGCTAGATTTCAACCACCAGTAGCATTCAGAGCTGTGGTAATAGGGCATCGGGTAGTTGGGAGATACGAACGTGCCGCTTGAAGTGGTGAGATTACCCCCGCAACCTAGAGGAGAAAGAAATGGAATGACACACACCCTTTTCCTTTTGGGGAAATTGAATCCTTTTGTCTGTATTAAACTGGTGCCACTCTGCTATCTTAAGTTATACAGCAAAACAGCATCATGAAAGAGTAGTTAGCCTACAAACCCAATTTCCTTTTTCTTTTTTTTTTGAGATGAAGTCTCACTGGGTCATCCAGGCTGACGTGCAACGGCATGATCTCGGATCACTGCAATTTCCACCTCCGAGGTTCCAGCGATTCTCCTGCCTCAGCCTCCCCAGTAGCTCAGATTACAGGCACCTGTCACCACGTCCGGCTAATTTTTGTATTTTTAGTAGAGATGGGGTTTCACTATGTTGGTGGCTGGTCTTGAACTCCTGACCTCAGGTGATCCCCCTGCCTTGGCCTCCCAAAGTGTTTGTGAGTACAGGAGTGAGCCACAGCACCCAGCCCCAATTTCCATCAATGCAATTTCCTTATTCTAACCAGGATTCTTATTTATTGATAAAAAGAAACTAGAACTTTCTCCCTTTGTCTATTAAAAAGAAATGGCTGCTATTAATTTTAAAATATTTGCAATACTGAAGTTTAAATACAGCTGGGCAAAATGGACAAGTGGTGAACAGAGCACGACAATCCCAGAATCAAGAAACCAATCAGATCAGCTTCTCCAGTAAGCTCTTGCTATTTACCTGTTGACGACCCATCCCAGTAAGCCGAGAATCCAGACCTCGTGTCTATTTGGTCACTCTGAAATTTTAACCATAGTTTGTTACTATGAGAGATGATTGTTGGGGGTAGATTTGAGCCACAGAATATTCCCAGCAATGGTGATTTTTCATAGCCTCCATCTCTGGCAGAATACAGAAATTAAAATGTATTGGGTTACTGAAAATATTACTGTATAAACATTTAACATAATTTGAACTTTGGGATTGCAAACATTAGCAGTTTATCAGATGAAGCAATTTCTCTCAAACACTACTCTTACTCTAAAAAACACGATTTTAACTTTTAAATTTTTTTAAATGGTATTTGAATGACTTCATAAAGAATGACCATTATTCATGGTTGGCATGGTGTTTTATATAACCAATTGCAAAGGGAGAGAATGTGTTTAATCTTCACCTTTCAAATAAAGCCTCTGGCAAATGTATCAGAGAAAACAGGATAAAGAAACTGTACTATTAACAATATAAACATACTGCTGTATTTCACAGAGAATCTTCCAATGTTTTCCTTCTGATTTGGAAATTTTTGAAATGTAATACATCATATTTGATATATTTAGCAAAATTCTGGAAATAATTTTTTCCTAAAAACTCTTGGTGCCTTAAATCTAGTTTATAATCTGTAGCTTTTTCAAACAAACAACAAAAAAGGGATTTATTCAACGCCGAAGTACAGTGACTAACTGCTATAAATTAAGAAAATTATGTCATTTTAGCATGATAGGGTCCAATTATGATTTATTATTTTAATACCTTACCTTATATTATAGAATAGCATTTATTATAATACATAAGATTCCAGATTTTAAATCCCAAATAAAATATTTGATATAGATGCCCACCAGAATGATTAGCCTAATTTAACTCAAAGTAGTGGCATAGAGAGATAACAATATATAAGTGAACTTACTTTTACTGCAAATATAACTTTTAAAATACATTCTTTCAAAGTGACAATAAGAAAGAATAATGCCTTGTACTGAAATTCACATGCCTAGACTTCTATTACCTGAACAGGAAAACTTTGTGAAAACTTTAAGACTGCTATCCTGCCATCATTTTGTAATATAATTAGATTAAATGAACAGCAAACAGCCTAAAATTTACATCGATTTTACATAATTAAAGTAGGTATTCAACAGCAGCAAGTTACATCATTTCAGAGTAGCAGCACATCTGTTTCTTTGCCCAGATAAAATCTGGAGTTTATTTTCAAGTATTTCCAATAAAAGAATCACTTCAAAATAACCACTGAATCTTACACAATTCCTGTATTTCTCCTAAGTCAGGCTCCAAATGACAAACTTTATTTCTTGCAAGAAAGTGCACAGCAGGGAGCTTTGCAGAGAATGACCATATTTTTTCCTTAATAGTCCTAGGAAAGATTATTAATGAGAATAAATAATGAAAAGATTATAATGAAATAAATAAAAGTGCTTACCTGATTTCCAGAAAATCTGTATAGTAGTTTCCACCAATGGCTTCCTCCAAGGAGAAGTTTGTGAAGTGCATTGCAATCTGTTGGCCAGTTCTCACTGTGATCCTATAAATGCATTCCCAGTTGTTGGGGTAATTATTGGGGAAGTTTGGAGAAGTTAATGTCCCAAAATCATCTGTGTAGTCTTGCAAACACGCTGTGAACAGAAACAGACCATACGAGAGAAAATAGAAAATACTGTTACATTTATAATACATCCAGTAATATGTATTTCATTAATTTGTGCCTATACTTGATTTTCAATAGGCCATTCTGGATGTGCAAATAAAGATTTCATTCTGAAACAGTTTTTGTAATCTTAAAGACAAAATAATTACCAACAGTAAATCTAAGCTGTGGAGTGGAAATTGTTACATATGTCTTGAGTAAACAACCCTTTAAATCTTGGAAGTGTTACTTTTTTCTAATCCTTGCAAATTACCATACACATTAAAAATTAGGATCCACTGCAGGAGGGCCTAGAAATAATTCAGTCTTGTCTTTCCATAAGCTTCCTTTAAAATGGTTTTCGCCAAAGCATGTATTTATGAGAAATGACAAAGCAGGTACCCCCACCATGGGGTGAACAATAGGGGCCCAGGCTCAAGGACCAGAGTGATCTTGAATGAAAAACCTCTCAAACACAGACAAGCTCTGCAGCCTTGGGAGAGTCACTGTACTTCTCTAAGCCTTAGTTCCCACATCTCTCAAATGAAGAGGGTCGCTACCTTTGAGTGTAGGTTTAAGAGTTAAAGATAATGCATTACAAGGGCTTGGCCCATTGATATGCGCTCAGTAAATGGTGGTCATTTACGTTATAAGGAAGACATTACATCATTCATAAAACATTTAGGATAGTACCTGGACAATTTTGAAGTCCTAAATAAATATCTTCTTTAAAAACTTTTCTGGTTTAATAGTTTTAACATTACCTATTCAGTCGATTCTGTGTTTGCTAACACCCACTCAATCTCCTATGCCCTCCAAATCGGAAATATTTTACAAATAAAATCTGGTTTGAATGCTTTTGTTTTTGTTTTTGTTTTGAGACAGAGTCTTGCTCTGTCGCAAAGGCTGGAGTGCAGTGGCGGGATCTTGGCTCGCTGCAACCTCTGCCTCCTGAGTTCAAGCGATTCTCCTGTCTCAGCCTCCCCAGCATCTGGGACTACACGCATGCACCACCATGCCCAGCAAATACATGCATTTTTAATGTATTTCCAATTGCATCCAGCCATAACCTAAATCTAGGGTATAGGAGTAGACAGAGGTCTCCTACTGAAAGGTTTTGGATACAATAAACTATTGTGTTTCACTGTGAGTCAAAAAAATAATAATAATATGAATAATAATAAGGATGTTTAGTTATGCTGTTTCCCTAGTTGCTGCTATATAATCATACTCAGAAAAGAAAAATCACTGGTATTGAAAACACAGAGATGCATAGAACGTATTATAGGTTCTACCATCTGTGTATAGCCCTCAAAGTAATGGGCATTCGCCAGATATTTGATTTTACTCTATTTTAAACAGCAAGCTATCAAGGCTTTACTGTATTGAAGGAATTCACAGTGACATTTAACACCAAAGATTATGTTTAACTCCAAAAGTATAGAAAAGTATGCTTTTCTGTAGTCTGCCAAAAAATTTCCACAAGTGGAAAGGAAGGCAGAGAGGAAGGGAATAAGAGAGACAGAAGGGAGACAACAGGAAAGGTAGAAAAGAGGGATAAAGAGAGCAGGAGGAGTATAGCATTGGTCTATTAATATTTCAGACCCACTAATGAAAATTACTAAGCTAAAAAAAGGACATCAAATGAAAGCAGTGACCCAGTATCCCTGAGTTGACAGAACAGACAGACTCATTGACCCACACACAGAGAGCTTTAGCCAGTAAATCAAATATTTAGAGGAAATTATCTGTTCATTCGCTTGTTCTTAAAGAGACAATGCTCCTTGCTCACTCACTGTACTCCCAGAGGGGAAATACAATTGTCTTGCATATCTCTAATGCAACTTGTCTGTGGGAGAATGTTAAGTGTGATCAGGTTCTCAGGTGGTGGAACCTGAATTAAAGATATTTTGGGGCAATAACGATGAGTAGTCTCCCTTCATCTTGCTTACATGCATGTGATTATTCTGGAACAACTGGTGGGAGTCTGTTAATCTTTACTGAAATTTTGATTTACTCACCAAGTTTCTTTTCTGTTGCTGGAACAAAAGTAAACTACAGTTCCTGATGCATTCCAATGATATTTATACCATTCACTTTGTCTGAAATGCTTTACCCTTTACCTAACCCGCTGCCCCACAACCCCTGCCAATACACGGTTTAACATATACACTCTTACCCATCATTTAAGGTTGGCTGAGACCTTTCCCAACCAAGCAGAACTAATTTATCTCGCATAATAAAATTGTATGTAAATAGCAATTTGAGTCCCAGACATATTTTGTAATTGTTTTTATGTGAGTATATTTACCTTACTAAACCTTGGGATATGAATAAGACCTTATTAACCATTATTTACTATCACTGTAGTACCTGGCCCAGATGAGGTCCTAGTAAGTAGTTGTTGCAATATTATTACATGACGTGTTGGAAACAAAGGGGACTGGTACATGCATCTAAGTTCCTCTCCCTACTCCATTCAGTTCTTCTCTTTCAAGCTACCCCTATACCCCAATCCTATGAATCCCTCTATTTTTCTCACCTCATTTTTCCTCTCTCTCTCCTTCCTATACTCTATCCTGGTTGGCTGAGGTTCTTTAATATTTTTTTGCTTCCAACTATGACAAGCAACTGTACTAAACTAGCTCCTCTCCTTAAGAACTGTAAAACTGAACAAAATACTGGGCAATCTGCAGTACAAGATTGTGATTCTTGACAGAAAGGAAACTCATGATGTATGACTCTTGATTTCCTTGGTTTTCTACCTATGCAGAATTTCCTGACCACAGAAGGGAGCTGAATCCCATGTAGTGAATGACAGTCCTACTGAGCTGATGATGCGAAGATTAGGATTGCCAAAGCAGCTGGAACTATAAGGAAATTCTCCAGAGAAGAAGTATATAGAGAGGAAAGCCAGGCATCTGAGCAGGGCTTCCCATGGATTCTTAGCTAAGCGTGGGCTGAGAATACATAAGGTGAGACTTCAAAAAGCATGTCAGACAGGAGCTGCTACTAGGCTGAAAGCAGAAACAAGATCACTTAGAGTTCTCTCCCATTCCAGAATGGGGATACCTCCTTAACACCTCAGGCATTCATATGAGACACCTAAAAGGCCATATCTTACAAGTGAAGACCATGGCCAAGAGTAGGGCTCTCTAGAACTTCCCTACCAAAGGATGAGTCTTAACAAGACCTGCAGGAATCATAGAAGTTGGAGGCTGAGACCTACCAAGTTAGAGGGGCTCAAGAAACAGGGATGTTCACAAATATTCTTTAGCAAATAAAGATATAAACCTATGCAGATACAAAGCAATCAGCTAGATATCAAACTAGTTTCAGAGGAGGAGAGAATACAGAGTGTCTACAACACATAATTTACCCTCATGATATGGGACACCCATATCATGCCCCAACCTATCATGTCCACTATAAATCCCAAAATTACTATAAATGTTAAAAAAAAAAATGAGAAAATATGGGCCAGGCATGGTGGCTCATGCCTGTAATCCCAGCACTTTAGGAGGCCGAGGTCAAGAGATCGAGACCATCCTGGCCAACATGGTGAAACCCCATCCCTACTAAAAATACAAAAAATTGGCTGGGCATGGTGGCACACGCCTGTAGTCCCAGCTACTCAGGAGACTAAGGCAGGAGGATCGCTTGAACCCAGGAGGCGGATGTTGCAGTGAGCCGAGATCGTGCCATTGCACTCCAGTCTGGTGACAGAGTGAGAGTTCATTTCAAACAAAACAAAACAAAACAAAAATGAGAAAATATGAATCAAATCAAGAAATGTCATCAGTAGTCAAGAAAAATGTGGTCATAGTTGAGAAAAAAATGTGATCTTGTGATTCAAAGATGATCTAGGTGTTAGATTTAAAAGAGAAAGACTTTAAAGCAGCTATTAAAAATATGTTCAAAGACTTAAAGAAAAAAGCCTTAAAAAATAAACAGATAAAAAATTTTGGCCCAAAAAGGGAGGAAATTACTAAAAGAAATCATGGAAATTATATAACTTAAAATTACACTAATTGAAATTAAAACTTCATGATGAGTTTAGTAGTAAACTGTAGGCAGAAGAAAAAAGGTCAGTACACTTTAATATATATCAATATACCTAATTTACTCTAAAGAACAAAGAGAAAAGAACACCAGGAAGATGAACAGATATTAAAAAAAAAAAAAAACAAAGAAAAAACAGTAGGTTAACACACATGCAATTAGAGAACCAGAAGGAGAAGAAAATAAAAATGGGTCAAAAAAAGAAAAGGATATAGTGGCTAAAAATCTCCTAAATTTTATGAAAAACATCTAATAAGATATGCTAGGCTTTCTTTTCATTATCTCCTTAAAAGAGAATTAGTGATTTAAAGCAAAAATAATAGTAAGGTGAATTTATAATATAGAGAGAAGTAGGCCAGGTGCAGTGGCTCACGCCTGTAATCTCAGCACTTTGGGAGGCCGAGGTGGGCAGATCACTTGAGGTCAGGAGTTCGAGACCAGCCTGGCCAACATGGTAAAACACCGTCTCTACTAAAAAAAATACAAAAATTAGCCAGGCATGGTGGCTCATGCCTGTAGCCCCAGCTACTCAGGAGGCTGAAGCACGAGAATTGCTTAAACCCAGGAGGTGGGGGTTGCAGTGAGCTGGGAGCATGCTACTGCACTCCAGCCTAGGCCATAGACTAACATTCAGTCTCAAAAAAAAAAAAAAAAAAAAGAAGTGAGAGAGAGAATGAATGATTTAAAGCAAAAATAATAGTAAGGTGAATTTATAATATAGAGAGAAGTAAAAGATATAACTAAAACAGCACACAGAAGGACAGGTAGATGGAATTACACTAGTAGGAGATTATTACACTTGTGAAGTATAAAGGAGAATGTGTGCAATATGAAGTGTCAGGTATGAATTAGAAGGTATGAAATGTAAAGCAGCTGCATATTAACGCTAAGAAAACTTGCTTATAAGCTAAGGAGTATATTTTTAGC